AGTTCGAGTTGCACTGAGGTAATTTTTCAAATGTCTTGCGTGTTAAATACATCAACGTTCTGCTTCTCATTCGTTTTTCTTTGCATGGATGCTGGCGTTTGGCTTCAATTTCTTCTGACTCATGATTTATGTGCAGAATGAGAATAGTAATCCCATTGTAGTTTAGGAAATTTTGTGCAATTTCAACTCGAAATTCGGTTTCAAAGTAGATTTCAACTAGACCCACTGGCAGATCAGGAGTTTATTTATCTGATAAACAGTTACAACTCATTACGAGTTTATGCCTCTCCGTTATCACCAATGTCACTAATATCTGGCATTTTTCAATGTTGCTGCTCGATAGGTTTCTAACTCTAAAATCACATTTAGTACAGTGATGCCGACCAAAAGGATTCATTTAGTGAGGGATTACAGTTTCAGGATGTTTTCAGTTAGAATGAATCGCTTGTTGCTCATTTTTTCCCAGTTCCATTTTCCAATAATTCTCGAAATGAGTTGTTTCCTTTGTCGCTGTTTCACTTGGATTGGTTCAGACTGCCTTTGCGAAAAGTTGTTTCTCACGATAAATATTCACGTTTCTCTTTTCAGGATTCGACCTCAGATCGTTCGCGAAAAACTCGAACTGTGCCGTGTTTGCACAGCCGTAACACCTGGTGAACCTCAAGTGAGCGATACTTTCCGATACTTAGCGATACTTTTTTTTAAAGTATCAGGCATTTCCAATTAGTTGCGCTATCTACCTATGAATGCTACAACGAAAATCACTGCAGATAACAATTGGAGACGATCGAAGTTTTACGTATGATTGCGTGTTCGATCAAGACACACACCAGCAATTGGTCTATGATCGCTGCGTTCGAAGTCTTATCGAAGGCACGCTCGAGGGCTTCAATGCCACCGTACTTGCGTACGGTCAGGTTCGTATTGAACGATCCACATTTCAGATCAATTCATCATTACCTTTCCACATTTTAATTTTACCGGAATCCGTTGCATTTCGTTTCATTGGCATCGCACACTGATATGGTTTCATTGAGTCAGTGGGAACAGATTAAATGCTGATTGTGAGCTGGAAATGAAATGGAAAATGAAATGCTTACAGACCGGTAGCGGTAAAACGTACACAATGGGTACGGCATTCGATATGACAACTGCATCGGATGACGATTCTGTGGGTATAGTGCCAAGAGCGATGGAACACCTCTTCACGCTGATTGAGCAACGCAAACGTGAGGCTCGTGAACGTGGCTTCATTGAACCCATATTCGATGTGGCTGTCCAATTCATTGAGGTAGTCTTTTGCCTTCACTAACCCTTTAGGCACTCGAATTCCAATTTGATATCTCAGTAATTTCAGGCAATTGACAGTAACAATAATAAGTGCGATTATTATCGTTATCGCCGTTATCAGTTGGATCACTTTCGCAATTCCTTGCGGAAAATTTCGCTGTCCCTGAAAGAGATTGGTGGAAAACAAT